ATTGGCTGACATGGAACACATAATGGCTGAAATCCTGTTCAAGATGATGTAATGTAAAGTTATGCCTATGGAAATGTGCTGGGCATTACAACAGGCACCCATCATTTGGCAATTTGATGGTTTGCATGTTTCATGATGTCCCTGTTGGTCAACGCACCTGTTGAAGTATTTTGCTGATATTATGCCTGGCTGGTGGATATATTTTTCTCTCTCTACTACTTCTGTAGCATTGTGTTATGCATGAGTAGCTGCAGAACAGGGTTTCAGCCACTTGACCCTAATCCCAGTCTTACTGAAAACAGTGTAACAAAGCCAATATAAATAATAAGATTGTAAAGTTTCAGCTAAAATAGTATTAGGATTTATAGTACTTGATTTTTTATGAACTTCGTAAGAGACAATACATGTGATCTAATCTAGTAAAGATCTTTCTTTATTCGTATCAGAGCACTGTGCAATTGAAAATTATGGACGTACTGTATAGGAAAAATAGGTAAAAGTTAAAACAAATTGAAACATTATTGTCATTTGTGGTCCTGAGGAACTGTGGGGTCATTTTGCTCATCAGCAAATTTGCAGTGCAATCCTTCTGGAAGTAAAGGTTTGGATGGCTGTGTGCCATTGCCCAAGTGTACTCATAATGCTTTCTACTCTTCATGGAGGCTCCTTCTATGTCCCCCATCTAGTAAGGATAAAGCAATCTTAATTAACATTAGGAGAACATTTAAGAAGTATATGGTGGTCTAAATCCAGTTGCTAGTCCCAGCTAGAGTAGACCCACTGAGTCAATTACTGAATGTTAAGACAGTTCTATAGGTCTACTTCAGTTTACTTTAGCTTGGACTAGAAATTGTACTTAGGATGGTATCCTTTCTTCCATTTGTTTTTGTCTTGTATTATTATATTTTCACAAATAATTCTTTCAGTACAGTCACTAATTATTCAGTCTGGATTTCAGGTGAAGTAAATGTGGAATGGAACGTGTAACTCTCTTTTATGATACTAGTGCAATGAAATACTCAAATACATTGTCTGCCCTCTCAAAGTGTGGAAAGGAGATTTAAAAATGAAATGCTGTGACATAACAACATAAGTACTGTTAATAATTTGGATCCAGATGCTGTGGGGTTGCAAGGAAAATCTACTCGTCAAAGTAGACTGCATCCTTGCATGTAACAGAGCTTGAAGATTTTTTTGTTTACTCTCGGAATCCCTGTGAAGTCATGCTGGCTGGGGATTCTGAGAGTTGAAGCCTGAAACATCTGGATGGCCAGAAGTTAAGAATCACTGATGTAGTGCATTTGATAAGCAGCTTCCTTATGTAAAGCTTTTAATGTATGTATTGCTATTTTCAAATGATGCTTTCTTCTAGGTGTCCTGCAGGATGTCAAGTATGCCAGAACTTAATCCGGTAAGACATAGTACTACTGTGCTAGAGACTGTATTTTCTGAAGTAAAGAACTGGCATGGAATATTCTTAAAGGCTGCCATTCTTGTAGAACAATTGAATGAATCTGACAATCTTACTAGAAGGACCCTTGTGGGCAATATCTTATTTATTTATTTATTTATTTATTTATTTATTTATTTATTCATTCATTCATTCATTCATTCATTCATTCATTCATTCATTCAATTGGTTGATTGGTTTTAACAATATGCTACATTCTGGATATCACCGCCACACCTAACTGAGGCCAATGACTGGATACAGCCCCAGTCCCTTTTAGTGCCCTAGACGCCTGTGGACCGTACCCATCTTTTCTTTTTCTTTTTTACCAAACCAGAGGTAGCTTTGGGGATAAAATGGGGTGGGTAGGGAAGGAAGCAATACATAAGAGAATTATTGTTCCTGAAGTTGTCTGGGGCTGCAATTCACTTTTGGGGGGCACTGGTGGGAGATAGTGCTCAAGGTTGTATAATTCTCATCCCAAGCATAAACAACAGGATAATAGACTTTACTGGGACTTGGGTTGGAAGCTACACCTTGGACAAATTATTCTCTCTTAGGGAATAGCTAAATGTAAGTCATGAGATCTATGATCTAAGACAAATAGCTAGATGGGGAAGCTATCTAACCAGGGAAACAAGCATGGGTTGACTCCTCTCCACTAGTGGTCAAATATGCCTGCAATTGCTATTAATATTTTAAAAACAAGCATAAGCAAAATATCTAGTTCTTTATAGACATACATCACATTTAGTTAGGTCTTCTGACCATCCTTCCTAATAGAACAGATGTAAAAGCTATTCTGTTAGGAACCTTTCAGATCCTGCTGTCCTGAAAATATCTATTCAAAACATTCTCATGACTGGTCTCTGTTTTCTTTGAATTTCTTATGAGAAGTATCTTTAGGATGCCTAGATTATTATGTATATTTTAGTCTGCCTTTGTTTGCAATTGTAACAAGATCTCTCTGGCATCAGTAAGGTGCTTATTGAGATCTGTAGATTATTCCAGATTTCTGTAAAACTTGAGAAGTACAGTATGTAATAGTATTATAGTACAATCAATGTAAGCTGGTCATTATTTACATTAAGTAGCTCAGGAGTACAGCATTTCCCGTTCCATTGCTGCTATTACATTTTTTAAATTGCCTTTTGTTTAAGATGTTGCTGTGGAAGGCTAATTGGTGACCATCCTGGGATAGATTACAGTTGGCCCATCTTTCAATCTGCAAGGAATAAAGAGAATGAAGAATGGTCAGTCCAAAAGGACACAAAGATAAGCGCAACTGATGCCTTTGGTACCATCAGTTTCCAAGATGGTGATCACACTTACCATGCCAAGGTTTGCACACATGATAAATTTTGTTTTTAGCCATTATTGGATAACTTACTTAGTTCTCTAAGGTTATGACTATAAAACTGCAGGAAATGAATTATTGGTATTAAGGCCATTTGAATCAGGTGGTTATTTTTTAAGGCAGCAGTTTTCTATTTGCTTTCTCATAATATAATTAGTATAACATTAAGAGGAGTGTTGTAAAAATTACAAGTCCATTTCCTCTGGCAGGCCTGGTTTGAGCTAAACCTGAGAGAGGGAGAGAGAAGCGTGCACACACACACAACAGCAAAGATGCTGTTGAATGACCTGCAGATCAGGAGGCAGGTGGGGTACAGCTACCCAGATCGATCTGTCTCCCTGATAACAGTGCTGTCCTCAGGGTGCTTATACAGTGATCTAGTCACATAGCAGTCATTAACGATGATAAATCATTGTCAATCAAATGGTTACAGAAGGTTTGTTTGTTTTAACTAGTACAAACACCTCATTAACTATCTTTGGCATACATAAGGTTTTGCCCAAACATCTATTACTTGTTGATCAAAGCAAAGTACAAACACACAAAGCAGTTTTCTGGGTACACTGCATCTGTTCCTAGTCATGGTGCCCTCTGTACGTGGCTGTCTGCTTTTCTTATCTTGGAATGTCAGTTGCACCTCATTCTTCTAGAGGGTTTTTGTTTGGAGATTCCCTCCCTTGCATGGTCTCTGTAAACTGCTATATTCTTGGTTATAGGTTGGTGATTATCTCAGGAGGAAGGAATGTTTGCTAAGGGTCACTGGCATCAGCAGAAAAGACTGCATTGAAGGGCTGGGCCTAGAATAGATGTGGAAACTAATGCCAATAGTGTTATATGAAGGCTTATACAAATGATATCAAAGAATACAAATATTTTTCCAAAAGAGCATGGATGCATAAAACAGACTGAGCACCAAGCAAATGCCTTCTGAACATTTCATATCTTCTTAAGCTCAGTACTGTGGTTATGCTTCAGAACATATACAATATATTGTTCATCTTTTTCACTTAATTTTTTTAAAAGTTTAAGGTAGCAGGCATGCTCAGCTGTAAAACATGAGGCAGATTGATCCGTCTGGCAAACATAAAATCAGGATTTTGAGGAAACATGCAAGGCAGAGTTCCCTAGCTTGGTGTCGTCCACGTATGTTGGACTACAACTTCCATTCTCCCAAGATAGCACATTCAAAGAACACTGAGAATTGTAGTCGGGCTCATCTGGAGTACTGATTGGAGAAGTCTGATGTAGGACATGACAAAAATTATTGAAGTCAGTGATCACACCTTTTTATTTCACCATAATGAATGGGTTTCAATTCCTCCTTGTTTCTTGGAGCCAAGAAAACTAGTGGAAACTTCACCGAATGCATGTCTGAATAGTGTGATGAACATGACTTTGAAAACAGGACAGTTTTAGACAGCTGAAGATTTTAATGCAACTGATGAAGTGCTACTGAAGCTTGCAGCAAACACAAGAAGTTAGAACTAAGACACTATAATTTTTTTAAAAAAAGAAAAGCATTCTTTTTTTTCTGGCTCTATGTGTATGTACTCTAAAAGTAGCAGCTATACATATATATTCCACTCCTTCTCTCCTGGCAGTATATTAGAACTTCTTATGATACCAAGCTGGATCAGCTGCTGCAGCTCATGGTGAAGGAATGGCAGATGGAATTGCCAAAACTGGTCATTTCTGTCCATGGCGGCATCCAAAACTTCAAACTTCCATATAAACTTAAGCAGATTTTCAGCAAAGGCTTGGTCAAAGCTGCTGAGACTACTGGAGCATGGATACTAACAGAAGGCATAAACACTGGTATTGTAATTTTTTTTTTTTTCAATTTATATGCCGCCCAACGGGTCTTTTATAAAATGCAGTACGGTATTGGAGCATAGAATTACAGGAAGCTACATTATATTGGCTGAAATACTGCTATGCTGCCATGCAAAATGTGAAACCTTTAGAAGCAAATCGTCCCAAGTTAAGGAATCTCCATAAACATGATGGGATGCATGCTGAGTCACATGACTCAGTATACAACAAATAATGTCTATGAAGATTTTCCTGGGAGCAACCAGAGGAAACGCTCTCTCCTGAGTTCTCATTAAATGTGAAAGTAGTGGGACTGGAAAAAAGGCAATCCCCTGCTGATCTTAATGCTATGGGGTCGTCTACAAGGAAATAACCTTCTTTCAAAGAGCCTGGGCCAAAAGGGCTTTAAAGTGTATATTAAGTGAAAATGTTCTTTTGAGGGGAAAAAAGGGGGAGGGGAATATGGAAACACAGCCAATATCCTGGCTTTGACAAACAAACTAAAATCTGGCAAAACTGGCCTGGAGATCAAATATACAAATGTGTACAGCCTCATTTCAATATAGCATAAACCATTCATTCAACATAAAGTCTGTTGAAAACTATTAATTATCCCAAGAACTAAATATTGTACTTTGTTTGAAATAGAAGTGTTGCCATGAGGGTAAAAATGATTATGTGCAGAAACTGATAAATAATTGCACTTTATAATTTTGCAAATATTCCACAGATGCAACACTTTTCATGTTGTGTTGTGATGATGTCACCACAAACACTAAAAAATCATGACTGTTATTATTTGCCTAGGAGTGTCCAAGCATGTGGGAGATGCACTGAAGGTCCATGCTTCTCAGTATTTAAGAAAGATTTGCACTGTTGGAATTCCTCCTTGGGGCATGATTGAGAACCAAAGAGACCTCATTGGAAAAGATGTGAGTTGATTAAAGGGGTTAATTCAATTAGCATACAAATAGCTAGAGAATATTATTAGAGACAAGTAGAGATTATTGTATTCATTAATTTTCCCTTCTTAGTAGTTTTAGAAGAGATAGTTGTGTTAGGTTGTGCAAGCACATCAATCAAAACCAAAAGAAAAATAACAAAATAAAGAAGACAAAGACATTGTTGCAATTTAAAGTATAATTGCTATATTTTAATGTGAGCTTTTGTAGATAAGTCCACTTCTTCAGACCATCTGACGAAGTGGACTGGTCTACGAAAGTTCACATTAAAATATATTAGTTAGTCTTTAAAGTGACACAATGTGTTTTTTTCTTAATTTTTTAAAATCTTTCTTTTGGTTTTCCCCTCTTGATATTGCTGATAAATTGCACAAGTCATTCAACCCATTGATGCATTAGATGAGCAGTTACTAATACACTGTGTAAAGTGTTGCTCCGAGAAATTATACTAGGTGTATGAATAGGCCAAATTTTAATAATCCTAGTGTGGTGACAGAAATTTGTTCTTTTAAGTTTTAAAAATGGTATATATGTAGTTTTTATGGTTTTGAATCATTTTGTCTAAACAGGCAATTACGATGCATATTAAAGGCAGGTGAAAATAAACTAAAGATTGTTTAATTTGCATAAATAATTCAGACTTTCATTCTTGATCACTCATTTTTAGTAGCCAAACATATCTGCATACAAAACTAAATTCCATTTAAATCTTTATGAGCTTTATTGTGGAATTTGGAATGGTGAAAATATTCAGCAAGAAGCAGTTAGAACTCTTAAGTATTATTAACTTCAAATTTTATTTATACACTAAAAGATATGTTCATATTGTTTTAATCTTAGCAACATAATTATATCTACAATTTTTAATTTTTCTTTTACAATGTAATGATGATGATAACCTAACTTTAGCTTATAAACAAGTCTAAAATAATATACTAGTCTGCTAACATGGAAACACAATCTTCTGGGCTTTTGTGTGTTAGAAAAATGCTGATCTGTTTATGCAAAAATGCAGATTCTTCAATTATATTCAGCCATTCTCAATGGAGGCCATTATAGGCCCCTGGGAGGCTCTGGCACATTTGAAGGAGGATACATATTGGAAACAATTCTTCACACACCACCTTACAAGATTCATTATGTGACTTATACAATGCTGCATCCGACTATATTTCTTTCATACTGCGCTTATGGCCATGGCTTAAAAAAGTTGAGAATGACTGAGTAGATGATGCATGGAATTCTTTCCCTTTTTGCTGGTCCACTTGGTTTCCATGTCATCTTTGGAGGCAGGAGAGCCTTACTTTAGCCACTAGGATAGTACTGCAGTTGCCTAGTATATCTGCCCATCTTATACCCTCATGCTTGGTTGCTTACATATACCATGTGGTTGCACGGGGGCAGAAACAGATATTACACATAACGAAGAACAGGATCCTTCCAGGCTGAGGGTGTGCGTATGTTGCAACAGGAGCTTCATTCACCTCACGGAGTTTGCAAATTAACTTGCTTTGTTTTGTGATTGGTCTTCAGGACTTAAACATGGAATCCCTCTACAGTCTTATTTCTGAAATATGAAACTTTGCCTAAATCACATCTCTTCAATATTAGCATGCTTTCATGTCTTAGAGGTTACTATTAAATCTGTTTCTGTTCTAAGAAAAGTGAGCGAAGTGTAACATACGAGGTTGTAGTAACCCATTTTCAAAGGAAGATTAGAACGGAAGTAACAGCATTCTATGTGCGGAGGTTATGAAGTCTGCATTATTACTCATGCAAAATCTAAAAGGCTGATTTTTGTCTGAACTAATATTGACTGAAATCCTGTTGCTTAGCATAGCAGGTTGAAACTAGAGTAGGCTCAGTCAAGCAATACAATTTATACAGTAGTTGATTTCCCAAATCCCCAGTGGTTCATTGAGTCTACTTTAGCTGCAACTTGCTACAGGACTTCAGCTTTTGACACTTTTGACAAAAAGAACAAGAAGGTACTGGCCTCCCACTCTATTTACAGAAGCCAACTAGACCAGCTCCGGATAGTCTTCAGCACTCCCCTTCAGTACAATGTCCTTCAAATGCACAGAACAGGCTGTGTGGCACCCATCTTCCACCTCCAAAACATTGCTGCCACTTCCCAGCTGAGGCAGCCACTTTGTACCACTCAATTTGGCCTGCCCTGGTTTTAAAGACCATCTCTATGACAATGCCATTATAATATTTTGGAGAAAATGTTTCTTTACTTTGGTTCTTCCTCAGGTAGTCTGCCGGTATCAAATGCTGAGCAATCCTCTCAGCAAGCTAAGCACCCTCAACAACATGCATTCCCATTTCATACTGGCGGATGATGGCACAATGGGAAAGTATGGCAATGAGATGAAACTCAGACGAAATCTGGAGAAATACCTATCACTTCAGAAAATACACACCCGTAAGTAATCTTTAGTCTGTGTTCATTCTTGAAAAAGCTATTTCACAGCTGTTTCTCCAAGTTGTCTAGGGCAGGGGTGAGGAATATGTGGTTCTCCATGAGATAGTAGACTGCAGCACCCATAACTCTAGCTAATGGTGAGGAAGGATGGCAGTTGTGGACCAACAACATCTGGGGTGGGTATGTGTTCTCTATGGTTGGTCAAGGGGGACAGAAAAATATCCATATGACATTATTTCACGCAGGCGGCTGAGGCTTACTTTACATCTGTTTTGCAGAGCTCTAGTGTAGTTCTTGTTCATTAAATGATCCCCTTCATACTCACTGTGGATGGGATTAGTTCACCGTGGCATTGCCTTACAGTGTTTCTGTGCTTCAAGGAGCACTGAACAGAAGTTGGTGCAACAGAACAACACAGATACAATAAAGAGCTCAGTTTGAAAGCCGTTATTTGTTTGGGAGTCCCAACTGTGTTCCTTTTCCACCTCTATGGCTGCTGGTGGCAACGTTTTGGTAACTGCTCATAAATTGTCACAAACGTTTCCTGGAAGAGTTTGTGTGTATTTAATTTTGCTTTGTTTTACAAAATTTTGCAAGAACATGGCATTCTTGTTCACAGTTCTCTGTAAACATTACCTGTGCCCCTTTGTTACTTATTTGTTTTATGCACTCATTTGAAATAAATCTGTTAGGTAGATAGTTACACACACACCACACACACACACACAAGTGCCTTAATTCACCTGTACTAGAGGGATTTTAGCCCAAGATTTCTTGCATAGACCTGCTATAATCTTATCAGATTACTTGATTTTTGTACTTATTTTCAATGAACAATTTATTTACTGTTCTTATGAACAAGTGCGTATGAAAAGTACCACCTCAGAAAAAGCATTATTCACTTGTACTAGAGGGGTTTTAGCCCAAGATTTCCTGCATAGACTTGATATAATCTTATCAGATTACTTGATTTTTTTCTTATTTTCAATGAACAATTTATTGCTGTTCTTATGAACAAGTGCATATGAAAAGTACCACCTCAGAAAAAGCATTCCTCCTTCTCACATGTGAGAATGCCTGTTTTAATAAGATGCCTGCTGTGGTGCACTTATTCATCACCTGCTAACTGAAGAAAGGACACTGTTTTGTTTCAGAACTGTTGTTTCAATTTATATACTATTTCTTCCAAATTCAATTATTTTTTTAATTGGCTAAAATTCTTCTTACTAATAAACTAATGTTTCTTAAACTGGGTAAGAGATTTGCCTTTTTCCCCCTCCTTATCTCTCCTCTCATGATGGGGATTACAGTAGAGTATTATATGTATTCGGGAACTCGGCCTTATACTACAGGTTACATTTTTGTGTGGTTTTCAAACAGGAATGGGACAAGGAGTGCCCGTAGTTGGGCTGCTGGTGGAAGGTGGTCCAAATGAGATCCTGACAGTATGGGAATACGTGAGGGAAAAACCATCTGTCCCTGTTGTGGTGTATGAGGGAACTGGGAGAGCAGCTGACCTTCTTGCCTTTACCCATAAGCACACAGCTGATTTGATGTGAGTACTTTGAAATTATAGCATTAAAAAAAAATATAGCTTTACAATGTATTATAAAAGATGCCTTCAAGTATTATTTTCACAGTAGACCAAAGGAAATGGTGGTGTAACTGGGAAATCCTGTGTTCATTTCAAATCTAGTTTTTCTTTAAATGGTGTATGACTGTGTCTTCACATGTTGAGCACATGCTGCCTCCTTGTGAGCCTTAGGGTGCAACGATGCAGGGATTTGTCCCATTGTTCAATCTACTTTTGGGATGGGTTGGCTTGCTCCTTTTACTGATGACCACATGACATAAGTGCTGTTGCAAACCAGCCCATCCCCAACACATGCCTACCCACACTTTTTGGCTCCCTCTCAGAGGCTCTGTGTGTGTGTGTGTGTGTGTGTGTGTGTGTGTGTGTGTGTGTGTGTGTGTGTGTGTGTGTGTGTGTAGAGGCAAACCAAAGCAGATAGCTGAAGACAGCTCAAACTACTTAACAATGCTTAACTGAAAGCTTCCTTCATTTCTCAGATAGCTTAAGCAGACAGCTCAAACTACTTAACTATGCTTAACTGAAAGCTTCCTTCATTTCTCTATGGAGGGGGAGAGAGGAAGTAAAGGTTATGTGATCCTATTTAGCTCACTCCAATTGGTCATCTAGTCGCACCCTTATTCAGACATTCAGGTTAGATGTAACTTGTACCTGTGGGAAAGGGTGCAGAGTAGCCTCATTGTCATCACTGACTCTTCATGTGAATATTTTGAAGAGAGGGGTCTCTGCTCCACATAGAGGCTCTCCATGTGACCTGATGCCCTGAGAAAAACAGGGGATTTGATGTTATGGAAAAGCTCCTCACACAGAAGATGCTGAGCTTTTCAGATTTTTGCTTTCTACATGAAGGGAATGATGGTGGAGGGAATGATGAGGGAATGGATAGGGTAGCCTGCCCCTTTTCTTAAGACATTTACTTTAACTTTTTCCTGGAGAACTGAATACTGCTACAGTATGAACATTTTGACTTCTCTCTTATGGAGAAAGAGGAAAGTAGCACAGTGAAGTTTTCATAGGCCTTTTATAAAGCCTCTTTCTGAGCCTGCAACTGGCATTTTCTGCTACTGCCTTCACTTTTTTATACATCCTATTATTTCATCTGTAATGCATTACTTCAGAGTCCTCTCCAGGTCATCCTACAAAGGATGGTGCTAGAAATATGTGTCTTTTACTCACCACTGCTTTCCTTCCTTCTGCCCTCACATATTCATTTTAGATGAATAGCTGAAGTGGTGCAGCTATGAAAACCGTAATGCCAAATCAGTGCTCAAATTTTGATCCTGGATAGTGTGACAGTCCCTTAGGCTGCTATTCCTGAAACCCAGAACTGTCAGGATCCCATTTCAACAATATTCTGTTGCTTGCCTAGCTTTGCCCCTTTTGCCATCTAGGTTTGATTAAGTTTTCTTCTCATTTGGAGTACAGTCTTTACTTGGCACATTGAATTACGGCCAGGTGAGCTAACACTAGATTACCTGAAACTTGGATGAATTCAAATATCCACTCGACTGTGTGTGTGTTTAGTCGTTTAGTCGTGTCCGACTCTTCGTGACCCCATGGACCAGAGCACGCCAGGCCCTCCTGTCTTCTACTGCCTCCCGGAGTTGTGTCAGGTTCATGTTGGTTGCTTCGCAGACACTGTCCAGCCATCTCATCCTCGGTCGTCCCCTTCTCCTCTTGCCGTCACACCTTCCTAACATCAAGGTTTTTTCCAAGGACTCTTTTCTTCTCATGAGATGGCCAAAGTACTGGAGCCTCAGCTTCACGATCTGTCCTTCAAGTGAGCATTCAGGGTTGATTTCCTTTAGAACTGATAGGTTTGTTCTCATTGCAGTCCAGGGGATTCTCAAGAGCCTCCTCCAGCACCACAATTCAAAGGCATCAATTCTTCGGCGGTCAGCTTTCTTTATGGTCCAGCTCTCACTTCCATACATCACGACAGGAAAAACCATAGCTATGACTATTCGGACTTTTGTTGGCAAGGTGATGTCTCTGCTTTTCAAGATGCTGTCAAGATTTGTCATCGCTTTCCTCCCAAGAAGAAGGCGCCTTTTAATTTCAGGGCTGCTGTCTCCATCTGAAGTAATCATGGAGCCCAGGAAGATAAAATTTGACACTGCCTCCATATCTTCCCCTTCTATTTCCCAGGAGGTGATGGGACCAGTGGCCATGATCTTAGTTTTTTTGATGTTGAGTTTCAGACCATTTTTTGCACTCTCCTCTTTCACTCTCATTACAAGGTTCTTTAATTCCTCCTCACTTTCTGCCATCAGAGTGGTATCATCTGCATATCGGAGGTTGTTGATATTTCTTCCGGCAATCTTAATTCCGGCTTGGGTTTCTTCCAGTCCAGCCTTCCACATGATGTATTCTGCATATAAGTTAAACAAGCTGGGGGACAATATACAGCCTTGCCGTACTCCTTTCCCAATTTTGAACCAATCAGTTGTTCCATGGACTTAGATCTTCTATGAACTACACATATCAGAAGTAGCTTCTAGCAAATAGATTGGCTCTCATCCAATCTAGTTGCTCATTTCTACTGTAAAGTGTTAATTCAATGTTATATGGGTGAAATGTGCTAACCAGCAAGATATCTGTAAAGTTATTAGCTTAAATGAGGTACATTTAATAATCCAAGATTGTCGCTCCTCCTCCTCCTCCTCTAGCAGTAGTAGCAGCAGTAGTAATAATAGTAGTACTGACAAGCTCTTCCTTTGATTCTTAGTCATAATTCTATGGTAGGATGCTTTTAAAAGGTTTGGGTGGGGATGCTTTGCATTATGCATTACTCATTTTTTGAGACAGCATTTACTGAACTGAGGCAAATTACAATAAATATTTCATCATGTAATATTATCTTTTTTCTACATATGTTTATGTCACAGGAATTTGAGCCCTCAGATTAGAGAAGAGATATTAATGATGATTCAGAATACTTTCAGTTTCAGCCAGAAACAGTGCCATCACCTGTTTAAAATTTTAATGGAATGTATGGAACACAGGGATTCTGTAAGTGTGGTCGATTCTTGGATTCCGTTTTGTTACTCTCAGTGGCTACAGTTCCATTGTAACAATTACATTCTTACCTGTATTCAGATGTTGCTACTTTACAATTATGATCTTGCAAATCATGATCACAGGACAAAGTTCATACATCATTATCTTTACAGTCTCTAGAAGTGTACAACATAATTAAGGGTAACATGAGGACATTTTGTGGCAAGAATGTACAGCAGAAACCATAACCATAACTAGCAATCTTGGTGCCTGGAGCAAACAGCATTGTGCCTTCCCCTTTCTGCTGTGAAGCATGGATGTGAATCCACTTTGAAAATGTGGGAGGTGAATGTGGCTCCACAGACACAGGAAGGTTATTCTTTCAGAAAAGGGAAAGTAAGTCTGGAGGTGTTGCTGTTTATTTTTGCAGACATTCATCAGTAGCTCCACCTCTCAGTTACAGTGCTTTCTAAATTTTGGTGTACTGGATGAAGCCCTATGAGGTTCACCCTAGTTACAGTTCTAACTACAGTTGTGGCAAAAATTAGAACCAGTAATTCAGTCCTACTCTCTTTTTTATGTATATTGTAATATACAAGGACATTCTCTCTATAAGAAATTTTTATTTTCCCCAGTTATTTAAAAGATTTGATTTAAAAACTTGTCATGTGAATTACTGACCAGTTGTATACATTATTGACAAGTACATTAAACTTCAACAATATGGATGCTACCAGGAGGAAAGACTCAAGGGCAGATGGAAGGAGATGGATGGACTGTAGAAAAGTCAAAACAAGTAACTTCTTTCAAGATGACACTGTCCCTAGAGAGAGCACTATCTCTTCTCCAGTGTCCAAATCATTCTTCAGATGCTGGAGCAGACAAGCAATTCATGCTTTTAGTTGAGATAGAGCCTTCTTCAAACCTTATGTTAGGAAGAAACTTTGTATCGGGCTGAGGATTAAAAAAAAAAAAACTTTCCCTTTTCTTGTTATTGGTAAAGTTGACTGTCAGAATCTTACTTTGATCCCCAGAAAAAATCTCAGACTTTCTGGGTCAGATACATTCACCTGTCCATGGTTACTGAAGAAAACTCTTTCCCATGTTTCCAATCACTGTATTACATACACTGAAGTTGGAAGCACATGTCCTGCCATATGCTGTTGTTAGACTATAGCTCTCATCAGCTCTAGCCAGAATTGCAAATGGTGATGAATGACGGACATTGCAGCCCAAAAACTATCAGGAGGGTTATAGCTTCCCAGTCCTGATGTATGGTTCAACTCTTCTCCCATGCACACGCACTCCAATGGTGTGCAATGCTAGAACACCAACATCAGTTGCCCACAAGGAATGGAACACTCATGTTACTATGAACAACTGCCTACAGGGGAAAGTAATTCAGCTATTCTCCTTTTCATGTGAATTACCTTCAGAAAAGGTAAGTGGGACACACTTTTCTGTTTAGCCTCCATATCACAGATGTTTATCTACTGGAGAACAAAGTAATTTATTCTTGTCTTTCAAAATATAAAAGTAATGTAATATTTCCACCTTTATTTGCCAGACCACAATTTTCAGGTTTCAACAATATTTTGGAATGTTATCCACTCTTTCATTTGCTGCCGGTCTTTCCATACAGCACGTGGCATTTCCGAATTGCCTGCTGGTTTGTTCTTTTCCTTCCCTCAATAGCATGCTTTGTTGTTTTGTCAGATAACCATATTTGATGCTGAATCAGATGAACATCAGGACATTGATCAGGCAATACTGACTGCACTCTTAAAAGGTACTAGTAAGTCATCCTGCCTGCCTCTTCTTCTAAAGACCTACCCACTCATAAAAGGAAACTTAGGTTTAAAAGCTAACGTAATTTTTGCTACTTTATAGGGACCAGCATGTCCCCTCCAGATCAGCTAAATCTAGCATTGGCTTGGAACAGACTGGACATTGCTAAGAAGCATATATTGGTATATGGGCAGCATTGGAAGGTAATTTCAACATTTATTTTCTTTTCTAGGTGAAATTAGATATTTCAAGTTCTGCTTTCTATAGTCTCTTCTCTCTTCTGGCCAAAAGAACGTCTTATAGCTTGTCACTAGGACTGAAAGGCAAACATCTTTTTTAAAGCCAACATTGAACAACAACAACAAAAACTTTTTTTGTTTTCATCTGTTTTCTGTCATTCTTTGAAGGTTGGCTCCCTGGAACAAGCCATGGCGGATGCTTTGGTAATGGACCGTGTAGAATTTGTGAAATTGCTAATAGAACATGGAGTGAATCTGCACCGTTTTCTTACCATATCCCGACTTGAAGAACTTTACAATATTGTGAGTGCCTGAAAATTAACTCAATTAATATATGGAATTAAAAACAAAACAGTGCAGTAATGGCCCTAAAATGTAAATAATGAAAAAATCAGTTCATTATCAGTCATGTCCAAATGAGACTACCTGGATGTCTAAAGTAGTGCTTGCTCTCCTCCAAGGTTCACACACACTAGGAAAAATTGGCTCTTCCATTAGAAGAAAGACAATGTAAAGGGCAGGTTCATATAGGTTGGCAGAGCACTTCAATATCTCTGAGGGAAGAGTGCAGGATGAGACAGCAGGCATGAAAATGGATGCTTGACGCCTAATATAATTAACTCGTAGAGCACCTCCTGCTCAATTAACATAATTCTGGAAAAAAAGAAAGGAGCAGAGAGGTGCTAGAGAAACAGCACATAGGGAAACGCAGTAGTAATGATCTTCAGCCAGTGTTTAGCTATCTCAAGGCTAGGCAAAGTTCACCCTTCAAATCTTGTTGGACCAGAAATCCCAGCATCCTTCACAAGTCGCTGTGCTTGCTGGGGTTTATGGATGTTGCAGTTCAATGAGATTTGAAAGGCCACACTTTGCCAACCCTTGAGGTGGCTGATAGACTCATGTGGTGATTTCATTGTGGAGCAAGTCAGGAAATGCAGCTAAGCATGTCCTGTGAGATCTCTCTCACTTTGTGTCTGTTAATTGCAACTAATTTCAATCTGCATCTTATGCCAGAATTTTGTACATTGTTGAAGATTACTGTGTGCAGGTATCACTGTTCCCATGCTTCTAACAATTCCTTTCATATAAAGTGAAATCCTCTTGACTTCTTTTCCTATGTACATTTATTTCACTTACTGTGCTTTTGTTTTTCTTTGAATGTTCCAGAAACAAGGGCACACAAATCATCTCCTGCATCATCTTGTCTGTGATGTGAAACAGGTAACATTAAATCCCAAATCATGGCAAGCAGAGGCATTTATAGATACTAATTTTTGGCACTGCATATTACGTATACTTGCTATTTGTTGTTCTGTACAATGTTTGGAAAATGAAGCAGGATTCAGATCCTGCTCCATTCATGTTAAGCAGTTTTGGATTTTTTTAAAAAAGCAAAGCATGTTGGTTATATAGCTCCTCATAGCACTGAAAGCACTCTCTGGGCAGTTTACAATTTAATTACGTAGGCTGCACATTGCTCTTTCCACTCAGTAAGCTATGTACTCAATTTACCAACCTCGAAAAGATGGAAGGCTGAGTGAACCTTGAGCCATCTACCTGGGATTGAACTCAGGCTGTGAGCAGAGTTTGGCAGCAGTACTGCAGTTTAACCATTGTGCCATGAGACTCTTCGTGCATAAGCCACTTTCAGTTGACCTCAATACTCTGCAACATGAAAATAATAATTGATGGGGTGTTTATATACCATGTTTCCCCCAAAAATAAGACAGGGTCTTATATTAATTTTTGCTCCCAAAAGGCATTAAGGCTTATTTTCAGGTGATGTTTAATTTTTTTCATGTATAGCAATCTACATTTATTCAAATACAGTCACGTCATCTTCTTCTGGTTGCTGCACAATGGTGGAGGGTGGGCTTTCACTTAACTAGGGCTTATTTTTGAGGTAGGGCTTATATTACAAGCATCCTGAAAAATCATACTAGGGCTTATTTGCAGGTTAGGTCTTATTTTCAGGGAAACAAGGTAGTCATTTCCTCAGGATTCTTTGATGTACAATGTTCATCAAAAAGTTCAAACTCTTATAAGTGCACTAAATATCCATTAACATTTGCTACATGAAATGTCAAATATCTGTGTTGCAGAGCACTCTTCCAATGGAATATAAAATATCACTGATAGATATCGGGCTGGTAATAGAATACTTGATTGGTGGAGCCTATCAGAGCAGCTATACAAGAAAAGACTTCAGAATTCTATACAATAGCCTTTACAGGAAACATAAGGTAAACTCAACAAGAGGATCACAGCTGTTTCTGCCAGATGGCATGGTTCAGAGCTAAAAAGTCTAGCATAGTGATTCCCAACCTTGGGTTCCCACACATTTTTGGACTATAACTTCCAGATATTCTGGCCAGCATACCTAGTGGTGAAGGCTTTGGGGAGTTTTAGACCAAGAACATCTGGGAACCAAAGGCTGGGGACCACTGGTCTAGCATGAATACATTAGGCAAAGTGGATTGGAGAGGGGTTATTAGTAATCAAAAATGTTTTTTTAAATAAAAAGCAATTTTACATATAAAATGCTTCCAGATGAATACGTACTTTGAATATGCTACATTCACATTTTATGAAGGTGCCGCTTGGCATTCTCATTTTCTTGCAATCCTCCTATTCTTTCTTGCTGTTTTGAAGAATGGGTGGGTGGCAGTAGAAGGGCAGTGTCCAGAGGCTGCAAGAACAGGTACAGTTTATGGGCAGTGGACAGTGTGTTGCCCATCTTTCTGTCAAAAATGGAGGCAAAAGTAACACAATACATATTTATGCAGTTCATGTTCTTTAACATTTCAAATGGAAAAGAAAATTATGAACTTTGGAATGTGAATGTGTTTTGGTCAAGGCTTATCATAGCCCGAATATAACAGTAATGCAATCTATCTCTAATCAGTCTACTTCTTTCTCTTTGTTTTCCAATACATCTTTGAATCCAGAGAGTTGTCACCAACTTGGCACAGCACTTCTCTCTTCACCAGCATAATCAGATGGGGAGTAGAGGCGGATCTGTTGAAAACACCTTGCATTCTCAGTTCATCAGAACAGCACAACCATACAAATACAAAGTACTGTGATCCTTTACGTATTCATGCAGTTCACAAGAAAGCACCTAATAGAAAAATAACATCTTGTCATCCAGAGTTTATGCAGCAAGAGGGGCTGCATAAGCAGGAGGAAAACCTTGGGATATCATGACAAATCTGGTTCATGAAGGTTACATGTCCATATCTTCCTCTCCTGGGTCTCTCCACGTGGTGCACAAAGAATCCCCAACATGCCTTCTGAATTTAAAGGTCAGGTGGTAGATTGGGGTATCCAGCCTGTTTCTCTCTCTCTTGACTGGAGATAGGATCCCCCAACATAGAATGCATTCTCCCAAATGAAAAGGTGAATGCTGCATAAAGGAATGTTCTGGTGTCAGTGACTGGGACTGTGTTGCTTGCCCAAGGCCACATAGGCTGGTTCGCTTCTCAGGAGGCACAGTGGGGAATCAAACTCCCAACCTCTGACTCTGCCGCTTGATAACTTAAACCACTGAGCAATCCAGCTAGGAGACCGTCACATTAGCAAGCACGAAAATGCAGGTAAATTATCCCAAAGATGCAAACAATCCAGTTAGTGCTTCTAATTTTTATCTGTCCATGCAAAAAGGCAGTGGCTATCAAGTTGTGAATTCCTGCTTTTATGGAAATGTGCAAAAATCAGTCTTGCAAGGCTGAAGTAAACAGCTCCTCAACTGGACTGAGCAAACATAAGTTGGGTCAAAGTGCTCACTCTGTTTTAGTAACTTAACTGGTTTTTTATTTGTTAACTTGCAGGAAAAATCAGCTGATCTTCATAAATACAGGAAGAAACTCAAAGATGAATTTACTTTCTCTGATGACCAAGAATCTCCTGGCTTTATTTACCCCTATAATGACCTCTTGGTTTGGGCAGTGTTGATGAAAAGGCAGAAAATGGCCATGTTCTTCTGGCAGCATGGAAAGGAAGCAATGGTCAAAGCTGTGGTGGCTTGTAAACTCTACAGAGCCATGGCACATGAAGCCAAACAAAGCAACATGGAGGATGATACTTCAGAAGAGTTGAAGAAGTATTCAAAGTAGGAGCTCTCCCTTCACTTCACATAATAGAGATCTACAGTGCTTAGAATGGTTAGACATTTTTCTCTCCATCAATCAAGACCAGATAATATTATGGCCTGTGGGAGTTGAAGGATGGCCTTTGCTTCAACAAGTAATGGAGACATATTTTTAAAAAGGTTTGGGTGATCTGATATGCAGATTAACCAAACTACATTTTCCCACTCTAGAGACAAGTAAATTAGATGAGAAAGATTATTGTCAATAAGTAGCCAGTATACCGGATCAATCTGAAAATTGGAATACTCTGATTCCAATTTTTAATTTTTTAAAAAGTTCAATGTCATCGGTCATTTCAGTAATTTTGTTACCATGGATATTACCGCTGTGTTATCACGATCATAAGATAAATAAGATGATAATTTATGACAGCTGGTAGAGTCTTGGCTCTCTCGCATTTGATTACCTAATGTACAGCTATCATTCCTTACTCTGTAGGTGGGGCACAGAAAGAAAAGGCAATTATTTTAAAAAAGACTACTGTTGTAATATTCATTTAACTTATTTCTATCCAGCCTTTCTCCTTAAAAGGACCCAAGGCAGCATACACCATTAAAAAGTCAATATTTATAAGCTAAAAACAAGAATACAAATATTTTAGAAGAAAGAAACAAGTCTTATAATAAAAACAGTAAATAAAAATCTATATGAAAAACACTTTCAAAAGCCACAGAGCACAACAGAATTTTGTACTGTCTTTTGGCACTGACATGAAACATTTCTTTAAAGAGTCTAGAATATTCTGCATCTTGCTGAAATCAGGAAGGTGTTAGTATAGATGTGTTATATTTAATCTCAGGGTGTGATTATGCTGGGGAGTTATATTGGTTTGAATTGGGTTTGAGTCAGGTTGATTCAAAGTTCTCCTTTGGCAGTTAAACCCTTCCTAATGTCCAGATGGAAATATATAATTGCTCATGGTGGCTTTGGAGCAAGAGTCCACACCATAAACTGACTTCCTTTCTCTGTTGTTGACTCTCATCATCTCCTGTTAGCCATCAGGACTGTAAGTAGCTATACTGTTCCGGAAGACTTACTTCTGATTTTCATAATTTGGAGCAAGAGTCCACACCATAAACTGACTTCCTTTCTCTGTTGTTGACTTTCTGCTTTCTTCACCCTTCCTCTCATCATCTCCTGTAAGCCATCAGGACTGTAAGTAGCTATGCTGTTCCGGAAGACTTACTTCTGATTTTCATAAGGATTTGTACATTGCGTGTGTCCAAATACACACATACAGCAGAAGTACAAAACTCATTAAGTCCAATTTAGTTCTTTGTTCTTTTTTTTTAAATTTTACAAATGTTTCGGTGCTGAGTTGATATAAAAATTTGTCAGCCTTTTGCAATCACAGAAATGGTTTTCCCTGGGTTTTGCTCACCTATTGAGTATTTCTCTTTTGAAGAAATTAATGTTGTTGCATTAAGTAATTACGCAATGTGATCAGAGAGGTGAATGCAACAAAAACTAAGAAAGGAACAAAACAGTTGTACCCCAGAACTGGAGCAATTACGTGGCGTACTGCCACAGTTAGCAAGCACAGTGCAAATATTTCTTCAGAGGAGGAGCCAGAGAGCTCATGGGGGTTTGGATGTATGCAATCATACATGCCAGAAACAGATGTGAATTGTATTGCTGGAAAAAACCCCCCCCCCAATACAGTAGCCCCTGCTGGCACAGCAAAAACCAACAAATGACTAGGAAAAAAGCTGGGTTTATTTGCAATTAACTGTATGTTGCATAACCAATGAAAAATACATTGAAGTTAACTGTGCCGATGGCAACACGGTAAGCATGGTATTTTTCAAGGTAGCTGCTCCCTCAGCATTTTATGTCTTGCAATATTATAAAATATAGCACAATTCAGTAACTTTTATGTACTACTTGTAAAGGCACATGGCTAATGCAAACAAGGAATACTGCTAAAATGTAGCACAATTTATTCTCAAAGGCTTTCACGGCCGGGATCTAATGGTTGTTGTGGGTTTTTCGGGCTCTTTGGCCGTGTTCTGAAGGTTGTTCTCCCTGACGTTTTGCCAGTCTCTGTGGCCGGCATCTTCAGAGGACAGGAGTAGGAACTCTGTCCATGCTCTGTGTTCCTAACTCCTATAATCAGAAGATGCCGGCCGCAGAGGCTGGCAAAACGTCAGGAAGAACAACCTTCTAAACACGGCCAAAGAACCCAAAAAACCCACAACAACCATGTAGCACAATTGTTGATCAATGTTCAGTATCTGTTCAGCATTTATACACATGTGGGGCTCCAACTATTGAAGTTCCTACAATGATCTGATGAAGGACCAGATCCTTGTGATTGGGCAAACAACCAGCACCTTGCCAAATTGCCATGGCAGCTTCTGCTATTGAAGCTCCACACATGTCAATACTGAATTGGGTTCTGACCAATATATGTTTGGAATTGTTTGTACAACATGATGAAGTTCATGGAAGCTTACATCCTAATAAAACTTGTTCATGTCTAAGGTGCCACCAAGACTCTGTAATGTTTTTGGTGCAACCAACTAACACGGCTATCTTCTCTTGACATTATTTGTATTTTATATACAGTACACAAGTAAAATACCAATTATTTCAGAATTTTAAAATAACTATTGTATGCTAATTGTTTTAGTTTCCCTGACTCATAGTCAAAATGCATGGCTCATTCTTCATAAATTGGCTATCATCTAGCACAGTAGTTCCCAACCATAGGTCACCCAGGTGTTCTTGAACTGCAGTTCCCAGAAACCCCAGCCAGTGCAGCTAGTGGTGAAGGCTTCTGGGAGTTGCAGTCCAAAACTCCTGAGTAACCCGAGGTTAAGAACCAGTGATCTAGCACAGTAGTTCCCAACCATAGGTCACCCAGGTGTTCTTGAACTGCAGTTCCCAGAAACCCCAGCCAGTGCAGCTAGTGGTGAAGGCTTCTGGGAATTGCAGTCCAAGAAGCATGGGTAATCTAAGATTGGGAACCACTGGTCTAGCATCTGTTTGAGTTCCACCTAACTTTGAACAATCCACCTTCACTTAATTGTACCTGCTTAGCCCAATCTGATGAAAATTGTAAAATTGCAAGTCTCTACTCCAGCATGCACCATGGCGGGAATAAGCACCGTTGAGCACAGTGGTCTGAGTAAAGATCCAAGAAGCATGGGTAATCTAAGATTGGGAACCACTGGTCTAGCATCTGTTTGAGTTCCACCTAACTTTGAACAATCCACCTTCACTTAATTGTACCTGCTTAGCCCAATCTGATGAAAATTGTAAAATTGCAAGTCTCTACTCCAGCATGCACCATGGCGGGAATAAGCACCGTTGAGCACAGTGGTCTGAGTAAAGATGCACAGGTTCAGTATGCACCATGGCGGGAATAAGTACCGTTGAGCACAGTGGTCTGAGTAAAGATGCACAGGTTGGCATAATAGGAAGGTCAGGAGCTCCCATATGAATGCAGCTCAAATCCATCAATGGAGTTAGGGTTTTTGCCATAGTTGTAAATGAGATGCTGGTTACATGCTTTGTTGCTCATCATAAAAAGAAGGCAGCAAAACAGAAAGAACTGGATCTCTAATTAGAAGATTGCCTGGATTACCACAATACATTTTCAGAGGGTTGGATGAGTTGGAAATAATAGGAGAAATGTAATGCTATACAGTGGTGCCTCGCATGATGACGTTAATTCATTCCGAAAAAATTGTTGTCGAACGAAAACGTCATCATGTGATTTTAAAAAGCCCATAGAAACGCATTAAAACCCAATTAATGCATTCTTAGGGGCTTAAAACTCACTGTCCAGAGAAGATTCTCCATAGCGTGGCCATTTTTGCTGCCCGCGCAGCGAGGAATCCATGCCAGAAAACAGCGGGCGGCCTTGTTTTTCACCCGGCGGCCATTTTGAAACTGCCGATCAGCTGGCCGAAAATCATCGCTTTGCGATAATCGGTTAGCGAAACGGGACCGATCATCACAAAGTGAAATTCCCCCATAGGGAACATCATTTTGCGATCGCTTTTGCAATTGCAAAATCTTTGTCATGATGCGATTTCGTTGTCAAACTGAGTGCTCGTAATGCGAGGCACCACTGTATTTGGTTGCACACTTACTTGGAGTATTTCCTGCACATTTACTCAGAGTGATTCCCATTGAAGTCAATGTTTATGATCAGAGTATACACATGACAGGAATGGCATGTATTGTTTGCCATGGTTGGTTTTGCTCAGTCAGTACTTTGAACTTGGCGGCATCTTTCTCCCCTGCTTTTTGTTTCCTTTGCTGTCATAGTGAATTTGGGCAGCTGGCTCTAGATGTGCTGGAGCATGCATTCAAACAGAATGAGCAGATGGCCATGAAGCTGCTGACCTATGAGCTTAAGAACTGGAGTAACTCCACATGCCTGAAGCTGGCTGTGTCGGTGGGTTTGCGACCTTTTGTGTCTCACACATGCACACAGATGCTGCTAACTGATTTGTGGATGGGCCGCTTGAAAATGAGGAAGAATTCCTGGTTTAAGGTAGAGACTTTCTCTGTTGTCTCTTATTAAAACAGAAACAATTTATTTGGCTTTAGGCTGAGATGTTTGTATTACAGGATGGTGGGGAACATTTTGGTCTATAGATTTTGTTGGATTGCAGCATCTATCTGCTCCAGCCAATATGTTTAGTGTCCAGGAATGATAGGAATCAGAGTCCAGCATCATCTGGAGAGCCACAGAGCTCTCATCCTCATCTAGTGTGGCTGCATGACAGGTCCATAAAAAAGAAGACATGTCGGGCTGATACTGAAATCAGCGCAGAACATGATTCACAAACACTGCATGACATGCAAGTGGCCATCTATATGAATTTGTCTTCCAAATACCTTATTCAATGTGGTGGTATTTACATTAGTTAACAATAACAAAAACTAGTTATCTCCCATCTTCTTCCCCCAAAGTTCCAAGCAGGCCTGCTTTTTTGTATTTATAAAGCAAAATATAACCAAAATGTTTTGTATTTGTTGCAGTTTTGAATTTCTAGCAAAATTCTCTTTTATTTTTTGTAGTAGAAGTACAGAGAATAGCTACAAGTTTCCCAGATTCTGCCTTGGTTACTTGAGGTTACAGGCTTGTGTATGCTTTCTTTACTGCTCACATACTTAGCAACCAACTGAACAGATCAACAACAAGTAACTGCCACAAACTGAGGAAAGAGAGGGAAAGAAACTTTCAGCAGAGAAGTGAGGCTCTCTTTGAATTCAAAGGTTGGAAAACTATTGGTTAGTGTTCAACAAATATACAATCCCCTCAGCACAGAAAAGTCCATCCCAGTCACATAAACTACAGATAGCATGTGAGGTTGCCAATAAAACAGTATCTCAGGTCATGGGAAGAAAAGGACAGGACAGGAAAGGCACATAATCACTGTGCCACAATAACAAGTTGGCAGAGACTGTATGTTGAGGCACAGGCTGCAATATTCTTAACGAGGCACTCCTTTGTGTCTCTCATCTATTAAGATGTTCACTATCTGTTTGGAAGTGTTCCTGGTAAGACTACTGAAGGAAATAATGTTTGCCTTGCTCTCCTGTAGCCCATTAAAAATATGCTACCTTTTGTTCACACAGAAGCAGTTGGCTTCTTCTCTGTTAAAGCAAATACAGATTAAAGGAGTCCTAGACCTGATTGTATCAGAGTTGGCCATGGCTACCAAAAGTTGTGTCTTTGTCCTTGTCTGTAGTAAGGAGGCATGGATTTAGAACAGCTTTCTTTCCTACAAGATAGTTCTCAAGGAGCTGTGATCTTTGTGTTTGCTTTACTGATGTTGACTCCATCTTCTATCAGGATATTTTTCAATATTTAGAAATGATAAAGGGGAAGCAACACTAAATACAGTTGAGTACCTTTCTGACTTTCCCATCTCTGTGAAGAAATGACAATAAATTGGCAAATCTACTGTAAGAGAAAATGAAGTTGAGTAGGAAAGACTGTAATAGTTTTATGGGTAAGCTGTTGTTTGGGAAGAATACTGCAGCTTTGGTATGCTACACTTGCTCATCATGCTAAGAATAAAAGCTTTGGAGATTATTGATCCTTGCTTTGCAAGTGAGGGAGGATGTTCAGCAGACAAAGTTTGTGAAATAGCCTCATGTGTAGCCAGCATGAGAGAAGAGAAACTCCTAGATTTTGTCCCTTTTGAAATCCCTGAAAGTAACCACTAGGTCACAGTTTGGGCAATGCATTTTTGGAGCAGGAACTGGTCTATCCCCACCCAATAGGGATGACCAGTCCCTTCCCCAAAGGCCCTCTGCAGCTGGAATAGTGAGGGGGTAATGTGGTCACAACTCCTGTGTGTGATAGTCTTTACACCACCCCCATCGTCACCACAGTTGTTTTTACAATTTTTTAAAAGTTGACACAACTGCAAGTGGCCTTGAGAAATTGTTTAGCATTATGCATTGTTTGGCTTAAAGAATCTGTTGCTATTGAACCTCTTATTGTTGTGAATAATAGTTCTAAATAGACTGAATACTGTAGTTATTGAGACACCAGAGCTCCATGAGTTTGCCTAATGAAGTTTTTTTTTAAAAAAAAAGCTGAACTAACAGTTATTGGAATACCTCCTTGCAGTAGATAAAATGGCTGAAATCCAGAAGTAAATCACGACGAGAGTCGACTCATGGAGGAGTTGACTCACAAAAACCCCCACTGATTCATTCGGCCTATTTTAGTTGTGACTTATAACAAGATTGCTGCCAATAGGTTACCTATGAAGACAAAATGGCATCTGTTGCTTTGCCAGGTGATTTCTGTTAGGGGTTGCTGTTGTTTTGCTTGTTTTGGTGTACCAGTGGTTCCTAAAATTGGGACCTCAGATGTTCTTGGACTACAACTCCCAGAAACCCTGGCCAGCACAGCTAATGGTGAAGGCTTCTGGGAGTTTTAGTCCAAGAACATCTAGGGACTCAAGGCTGGGAAGCATTGGTGCAAGCAACAGAAGCTGGGGTGTGGGGATGGAGGAAGAGGAGTTCCTAGCACACCATGCCATAGTGTTGCAGGAAGGCTAGTCTGTGGATGCAGGGTGGAGAAGGGGGCAGAAAATTAGGAAGCATTGCTTCTTTGAGGTTTGGAACACACACACACCCTTTCTGTCATGTACCTAATCTCTGGCCTTGGGCAAACCTCTTGATTCCTGAGGAGCAGTAGAGCAAGAACAATTTGGCCAAATGAGACTTCAACTTTCTTCATTTTTTTTCAGAAGCATTTGCCATTGTGATCTTGAAGGCTTCAAAGTAAAATACTGAATAATTGTTAAGTAACTGACTGGTGCTCTTTTAGGTGATTCTAAGTATTCTTCTGCCCCCGACCATCTTCATGCTGGAATTTAAAAGTAAAGCGGAAATGTCACATGTCCCTCAGTCACAGGAGTTCCATCAGTTCACACGGGACCAGGGAGATCTGAACACATCCAGTATGAAAGATGACTTTACATGGGTTCGTATAGTTCCAACTTTAGATTTTATTTTTCTAAATGTGGAGAAGATTTGAGTTATTATTACCAAGTGTTTGCTTTTAAATATAAACAGGTTAAACTGCTGCACTGCAGCCAAAACTGTGCTCACGACCTGGGGTTCAATTCCAGGTAGCCGGCTCCAGGTTGACTCAGCCTTCTATCCTTCCGAGGTCAATAAAATGAGTACCCAGCTTGCAAGGGGTGGGGGAGGCAATGTGTAGCCTGCATAATTAACTTGTAAACTGCCAGAGAGTGCTTGAAGCACTATGGGGCGGTATATAAGCAGCACGCTTTGCTTTGCTTTGCTTTGCTTTGCTTTATTCTGTCAGGGGAAAAATTTTCCTGAACATCTTTCAACATAATAAGATTATAAATAAGGCCTTCAACAAAATGTTGCAGAATGGAGAGGTCCCGTTCAGAGATTTAGCAGGCAAGCCTTCTTTGACAATACAGTATTTCTATTTTATTGCTCTTGTATTAGGAGAGCAATTCGTAACTGTGCTCCAAACCCAGGACTCAGCCTGGTTTTTCTTTCTTTCTTTCTTTCTTTCTTTCTTTCTTTCTTTCTTTCTTTCTTTCTTTCTTTCTTTCTTTCTTTCCATTCAGAGTTTTAGCAGGCAAGCCTTCTTTGACAATATTTCTAGTTTATTGCTCTTGTATTAGGAGAGCAACTCTGCTCCAAACCCAGGACTCAGCCTGGTCTGTCTGTCTGTCTGTCTGTCTGTCTGTCTGTCTGTCTGTCTGTCTTTCTGTCTGTCTGTCTGTCTGTCTGTCTGTCTGTCTGTCTGTCTGTCTGTCTGTCTGTCTGTCTGTCTGTCTGTCTGTCTGTCTGTCTGTCTGTCTGTCTGTCTGTCTGTCTGTCTGTCTGTCTGTCTGTCTGTCTGTCTGTCTGTCTGTCTGTCTGTCTGTCTGTCTGTCTGTCTGTCTGTCTGTCTGTCTGTCTGTCTGTCTGTCTGTCTGTCTGTCTGTCTGTCTGTCTGTCTGTCTGTCTGTCTGTCTGTCT